TTTTAGGGCTCCGACCATTTCGCGCTTGCCGGCATTTTCGAGCTAAGACAGTAAAAGCACCCTTGTCACCAATGCCGGAAGATCTATTTAAGCCTTGATGACACGAAGCGAGTTTACTAGCTACAGCTGCAAGCCAGCGAGTTCGCTAGTAGCTTGTAGAAGCGCCCCGTATCATCGAGTAGCAGATGGTGAAAAAGTAGACTTGCAACGAATATTCGGTTACTATTCGGTATTCGGCCTATTCGGGTGCTTTTATTATATTCGGCCGAATACCGAATATCTACATATTAATCGGCCGAATACCGAATACTTAAATAATATATTTTGTCATAGAGAAATAATTGGTAAAATGAAAAATTAAAATCGATTGATTACGTATATATTCATATTTTCATTTTTGTTTTACAATCATTTAAGTAGTCATTGGTACATGACACAGGTACATAATCATCTTCTGAATTGGAAAAATGGAGGATTCTATGTATTTGAATTATTGTGGTAATCAAAATTTAGAACGGTAAGGTTCTCATTTCTTTTATAATCATTTATTAAGTCATAAGTCATAATATTTATTGCTTCATGTTGGTTACATTTAGTTCTTAAATTTAATAACAGCTCGCAAACATGAGCCCTGCAAGGGCATTGCAAATTATAATAAAAGTGTACAAACATTAATTTAAAATTTGATAAAATTACAATAGGATAACAATTTAAGATAGATAGAAAAATTAAATAAGTTAATAAAAATATAATTTTAAAGTAATTCATATAATACTTTAAGCAATTCAGTAGTCATTGGTACATAAAACAGGTACATAATTTAATCATTTTCTATACTAAACAAGTTAACAGTTTTTAATTCATTCAGTCATGTGATGAATGGTTACATAATAGCAATAATTTTAAGTTTACGCGCCGTTTTTGGCCATATCTCAAAAGTTGGTTTTGTCATTTAGCCGCATTTTAGCTTGAGGACGGCAGATTAGAACAAAACAAAGGAGCGCGAAACAATCACGTCTGTACAAGTTTTTGGCGCTAAAATCCAGCCGAATACTTTTGCCTAATATTCGGCTATTCGGTCAGGGGCCTCGCCGAATATTCGGTATACTGCCGAATATACTATTCGTTGCAAGTCTAAAAAAAGCCGATGTCGCGGGGCGAGTTTACAAGCTACAAGCGAACTCGCTGGCTTGTAGCTTGTAAACCTCGCCCCGAATCATCGAGGCTTAACTTTACTGTGCCGTGTCAAAATCATTGCACAGTTGCCCGCATTCACTGAGGTAGATCAATTAACTTTTATAACGTATACTAGCGGACCCGACAGACGTTGTCCTGTCTACACGTCTTTAATTTGAAAATTTCAAACTTTTTTAATAAGCTAAAACATTCTGGACCATTTTGATGAAAATTATTATTCAAATGTTATGACAATATCTAACGATCCCCTTGAACACACACAAAAAATTTCATCAAAATCGGTCCAGTCGTTTAAGAGAAGTTCAGTGACATACACACTCACAGAAGAATTATATATATAAAAGATAATGAGTGTTTGTGCGCGGACTTGGATGGGCGGGGTTTCCCTTTCTGGCCAATAGATACAGACACATTTGTAGCTCCTTTGTAAGGTATAGGAATAATATAGAGTTTGAATTGATACTTGAAGGATTTCAACGTATTCTATTAGCTAATTTTCGTTATGTGAGCAGAAGTTATATCCAATTAACTGTGTAACATTGTTCTAGATCACTACCCTTCGAATTCGAATAGTTTGCGAGTCCGAAATGTCAATGTCAAATTTATACTAATTTTTAGTTCTCGTTACGTACTTCGTGCCGCTGCTGTTCAAGTTTCCATACAAAATTTGACATTGACATTTAGGTTTGCAAATTATTCGAATTCGATAATGGTTCGTGCTAGGGGTACTGTGCCCCTAACTTTTGCGACTCGCAAACGTTACGAATTCGATTTTGGTTCGTGCTAAGGGTACTGTGATATGTTTCAATCAAAACTTGAGACTTGAGAGCTTAGCTCAGACAAAAATCACCGGGTGGTTATTAAATTGACTTCGAGGAATGTATGTACACAACGGTAACTGGAAAGCGTACTCGTTAATTAACGATGAGAAGAAGTTTACAGTTAGGATCTTGAAGTCTTAAAGAATAGCGACGCTTCTAGCTGCCGTTATGTACATAAATTCCTTGTCTGACTCAGATACTCTGATTGCTGACGATGTATATGAAGATACAAGTATCTCGCTAGAATCGCGTCGTGTTATCCGTCGCCGCTTTGATGTGATTCAGTTTCAAAAGACTTATTTATATATCTGCACCACACCACTGAGTAAATAGGGAATATGCATATAATTCAAATAAGGCTCAATTTTCTTTAACGTAAACTTTATTACTTGCGAATTGTTCCTCCATCGATATTTCTTTTTTAAATTAATTACTGAAAGTTACGGAAAACTTTTGGGAAATCCAAAATTTGAAACGCTACAAGCGGTTGTGACGTGGGCCATGTTCACAGGATATGTCGAAGTCAACGAGACCTAGTGCAAGTGCGTAGTGCGCGTGCACATAGACTATAATCTAACTGTCCACTTGTTTGTTTTGTTGATAAGAATTATGACGCCACTTAGTGTTCCAAAATAGAGAGCGTTTAAAATGAGGGTGTTTATGAAAATTTACGTCACCAGTTGGCGCCACTGTTACGTGAGGTCTTCTGTATGAAGTTTTTAGCGCTAACTCCATAGAACAGATTCATAGACTATGAGATCATATGCGATTTGACGGATGATTAGACCTTTCGTCTCAGTACTGTCACCTGGTGCCTGTCATTCTAAAAAACCCTCATTGCCGTGCTGGTGGTAGTGGTTTTTAATTATTTAGACTTTTTTTTGCAGCGTTATACATTTTCTCACAATATTGAGGGGATGTAAACTGCTAAATAAAAATATAAAAAAAAAATATACAAATTCCCTATTCCATAAAGAGCGACAATTGTTTAGGAACTGTAATTATTGACTTCAACATGCGGATTATTTATTTTTTTATATATGATTTCCTCTTATACTTATGTAATTAAGAAGCTGTTATTAAAATTCTATAAGTATGAGCTAGTAATAGAACCATATTTTTTGTTTTTAATTTGCTTATTATAAGAAATTTTAGATGATTTTCTTTTATAAATATTATCGTTTTATTATTTTCAATGTAATTATGTGTTTTCGTTGTAGTTTCTATTAAATATAAAAACAATAATAGCGAGACGAATAAAATAAAAACTAAATTAGATTTCTTAATAAAAAATAAGATATAGAGATGACAAAAAACAAATCCTTGTACATAATTAAATGTAAATATACCTAACTAGCAAACCCGGCGAACTCCGTTTCGCCACCAGATGGCTTCGTTTTATGTAACATTTCGTTTGGTGATTAAAAGAAGTTTTTTTTTAATTTTTCCTGAATTTTCTTTGCTATAAACCTCACGGAGCCCGAGACCTTTCCAACGAATGCAAAACCGTGGAAATCGGGTCGTGCGTTCTGGAGTTATAGCGTCAGGAAGGAAAACCCGACTTATTTTTATATAGTAGATATACTGTAACTTGTATTCAAAATAGAAGATTGATTTATTTTTAACACCTATTTTCATTGATTAGTCTAAACGCTAATAATAAATTGACGTTAAGGTACGTTGGTAGATCTTTATGGGTGTAATCCGTAATATATACCAGTATACTGGCCACTGCTAATGACGTCATGAATCGACGCTATACTGGTGATTTGTTCCGAAATATACTCGCCAGTGCACTGACGACATATATCGATGAAATATCAAAAATAGTGCGAATAAAGAAGATTTTTTATTCACCTCATCAATTAAAAGGAATTCTTTTTATTCGGATGCCATTATTGTTCTTTAAATAAAAAAGAAATAATATTCGAATGCATCACACGCACGCTCGATCATAAGTCATATTCGTTTTCCCGGTAAAAATATGGTAGCATACCAGTACAATATGGCGTCGGATTCGTGACGTCATTACCACTGACCAGTATACTGATGTATATTGCGGATACGGACCCACAAGGTGATCGCTTCACATCTCGACAGATTATTGTAGAATCGTACTTTGACAAATTATCGACAGTGGAAAAGAAGAATCGCATATACACCACTTTGGTGCTGCTTAAAAATTAACATTAAATAATAGTAAATTAAGTATATTTTTAAGCAGCACCGAAGTGGCGTGTAAGCAATTTTTCTTTTCCACTGTCGTTATAAAGAATAATAATAAATATTTCCAACACTCCCAACAATTAGCCTAGCCCCAAAGTAAGCACTGTAAGGCATGTGTTATGGGATGCTAGGGTAACGGATAAAATACATATACTGTACATAAGTATATTTATA